TTGTTGTGTGTTTCTGAGTGTGTTGATATTTATTATGACATAGTGTAAAATTCTGAGCTTAGATCTGTGCCCATATAAGATTCAAACTTACCTGCATTTTAGAACTAAATTCTCCTATTCTGTGCCAGGGAATTACCACGAACTTCTTATGGATTTGTGACCGAGGGTTTGACTGTCTTGTTTTTAATTTTGTTCACACAAAAGCTGAGAAATGACAGCATGTTGAATCCCTTTTCCCACAGTCGACAGGCTGAATAGACTTTGTGTTTGTATAATGTGTTGACAGCTGTTTGTTGTAGTGGACGAGGTAGATGTACGTTCTGTCGGGGTGGTGCCTGCTATTGTGTGCAAAAATGTTACTGCTCATTTTAAGTATTTCAGCTGTCTTCAGTGCAGCCAGCAGTTATTGCACTTCTGTCTTTGTGTGTTTGTTCACTGTGTATGCATAGTACATGTAATCAGTATAAAAAAAAAAAACAAAACAAGAAACCTAAATCATTTAAGCACAGGTTAGGATATGTGGACTATTCACACTGAGACTGAAGCACAATGTAAATGCACTTAGGTGTTGTCGAGTAATAAAGGTGTTGGACATGCTCGTGACTCTCCACATAAGTATCGAACACATCTAAAGTACTCTGTGGTGCAATATGTAGTGGTCGTATCTATCTTTAGACTCTGGGTTTGTTGTGTATCGTTAAGGAACTGTTATGCCAGTAGAGAAATGTCCCTGTTATGATATCTAGTTGCTCAGATTGTTGTGTTATTGTGATAATAAATCTAACACAACCTCTCTTTGTCTGGAGTCTTTTCCTTTGTGGTCAGACTTCCACTATATCATTTTTTTAAAAGCTGCATTAAACCTTCAGAGTAATAACCTGTTTGACACTTATCATTCTGTACCAATATTAAACCGTGTGAACGCCTGTTTATTTCCCTTTAATTCCTTACATTTGTAAGGAAAATGCATTTTGGGGTTGAGCAGCAGAGTTGAGCATGTGGGTTGCACCCATTAAAACCTGGTAAATCTGCTCTGCCAATGCAAAACAACTGATTCATTGACCAAAACAACCACACTGGCTGACAAATGATGGTTAAAGAATGGGACCCCATCCCACAGCAGTGTGTGACCAAGCGGTTGACCAGCATGATGGGGAGGTGCCAGGCGACTGTGGCTCTACATGCCAAGGCCCCTGTTGTTAAATGAATACATTTTTAAATTGCTGATATGTCTAGTTTCATTAGACCTCAATCATTCAATCCAATAAACAGCACCAAACAAGTGTCAATAGCAGAATATATTTTTCTTCAGCGCAACCTACATGCTCAACTCTGCTGCTCAACCCACAAATGCATTTCCTTACAAATGTGCCACCATTTAAGGGGAAATAGACCTTTGAGTGGTTTAAGATTTCTTGCCAAGAAGTATTGTTACAACAAAGAAATGCAAAAAAAACCCCACACTGTCCTTACTTTTTGTGCCACATTTAGAATAATAATATTCTTGTGCTTCATTATGAGTTATTAGTATAATTAGGCAGATTGGTGTATGGTGGTGAAGGTCCTGGGTTCAAATCCACCAGGTGGCTGTGGTCTTTCTGTGTAGAGTTTGGGTTTTCCATCAGGTCAACTATGCATCTACTTTCATCTTCCCCCTTATTCACCACAGTGGCAGCTCTGCATGTTTGATTGGGCAGATTTTTACGCCGGATACTCAGATTCCTCCAGGAATTGGAACTTCCCCTTGTTAGTAAAATGTGTAAACCACTACTCTATGGATCTTCTGCATGTGAGGTCAACTGGTAATTCTAAATTGAATGGCAACCCATCCCAGGACGCATCTCATTTGCCGAATGACATTTGGCTGGAGCCCCACACAACTTTAACCTGTGTAAATGTGGTTAAGAAAAAGGGTGGATGGATCATATAATTAGAAAAATGTCCTGAAGGATGCTACATCCTTACTCTAGGTTATGTTTTGGCACATTATTAAGATGAGGACCTATAATCAGTCTTGTGAGAGCTGATGGGTGTGTCTATAGGATTTACGTTTTATATGAATAATTCATACTTTTCCAGGAGCACATTACCAATTTTCACAGTATTTTGGTAAGACCACCCTCAATTATAATGCTGCATTTTAAAGGATGTAATTCTAATCATTACCTTATTAATGCTGAAGACACAAAACTGGCCAACACACTCTTTTCCTGCCGTGTGCTGCACTCACCCAGCAGCTATACTTTACAAAGAAAAAGCCTTTAATCAGATTTTAATCACTTGATATAAGCATTTGAGGATTTAGCAGTTTAAGACTCAATTTAGATATAGAATGAAGGCGTTTTATATAACAAGTCACCTTTTCCTTTTTTTTGTTGCTGTTTGGCACACTTGTCACACTAAAAATGACCTTTATCTCTTTATGCACCGAATAGTTAGAAATCGTAAGATCCTCCAGCATCACTGCAGTTTCTAGGTGTGGTGGAGCACGGTGCGTCACAGCTCAACCTTGTTTGTTCCTTGTCTGACTCACCCCAGCTTTCAGTGCATTAATGCAGTTAGGCAGTTGCAAATGGTACAGTGAGGTTTATGACTGCCTACCATCACAGTCAGCAGCCCCAGTGTTCAGAAACTCTCGAATCTCTGCCTTCGGTGGCTGTTTACGACCCATTACTAAGACAACTGATGACTCAGTCCCTGTGTTTCGCGAGTAGCCCTTCAAGCTTATGCAGGCTTAGCGTGGACAGATATCAGACATGGAAAATTCTTTAAAAGAAAAAAAAGGGGGGACAAAATTCTGAGAGAAGTTAATTTTCTTTTTTATTAAAAAAAACAAAACACAATTAAAACATTATAAAAAACACATTAAGCTTATTCAACCTATGGGAGAACGTTGTCTTTGTTGACTAATCTGATGCTTTGAGGCAAGACTAAGCGTCATCTACTGTATGAAAATACTGTATCAAAATAAGAATAGTCTTCCCACACTGAGCCATAGGAATTCCAAGACACCAGTTAATGCTGCTGCTCAGCACACCTGATTTTAGACGCCGATTTGTGTTTCGTCTCTCAGAATCTGTCACTAACCGAGCTTTACAATAACTTCGGAGGCCTGCCTCTCTCCTCAGTGACGGAGGGGTGAGAAGGTGTGTCTGAATCATAGCATCCAGTGTTGATATGAGAATGTTGGTCATGTAGGGGGGGGAAGACAGTGATTGTATAGAGTGATGGAGAAAACCATCATGTGTGCAGTTGATCTACTATCAAAGTTTGAAACCCATCAGGCTACAAAGAGAAGAAACGATCATCCAAGGATGATACTTCTGCTGTCAACCAGAAGAAAGCGCAATCAGATGAGACCTTCAGTTTAATCATGCACAGGTTGAAAAAGATTTCTACTTATATTTATAAACCTAAACAAAAAAAAAAAAAAAGGGGGGGGGGAGGCTGAATCGAAAGTGCCGCCGGCACAGTTCAAACATTCTTACACAAAAATGAGGTTTCATCTTATTTCTCTAATATCTTTATTACTCAGCTGCCACATGGAGGAGATAAATGTGCAAATATTTCCTTTTTCCTCATCACTAATAAAGTATGAAATAGATAAAGTAACCCGAGTATAATGCAATGGAAAAATAAATATTTCTGTGGAAGAGAGCTGGCCAGGGCATTCCTTTGCTTTTGCACAGGCTGGGTAGAGAAGGAGCTGCGGAAATAATCATGAATATTTGCAGGTCTGATCACTCAGAGTACAACAGCACTAAAAACAGTGGCTTTGTTACCCCCGAAAGAAAGAATACACCACTTTTACCCTTTAAAAACAGCACCCAACTCTATCTAAATAACAGTGCTGAAGAGAAGACCCAAGCAAGAAGAAGCTGGGGAAAGACATTTCCTTTCACATTCACAGACCAAGGACATTGAAAGGGATATTACTATGGTAATCTATTCTCCGTCTGCTCCCAGGGCGTCAAATACTGCTGTTGTGTCAAAACCACCAGTGTCTCAAAGAAATGCAAAGAGGTGGAGACAGTGTAGTGATTGGTTATAGAAACCAGTCTACCACTCAAATACAAAACAGTTTGGGTCTTATGGACCGCTTGGAGTCGCATTTAAACACAGCAGGTAAACTTTTCTTCTTCAACAAGCAGGTGTAAACAACAATCTTTTTCCTAACCAAGCAGTTTTTGGTGTTCAAATCTCACCAGCAAGTAAAAACTGAAAGAAAACAAAGTGAAATACAATGAAGCACCCAAATGTGACATAACCCCGTCTCAAGACAACATCTGTACAAAGCCAAGAACAACAGCAGTATTTTATGCCCTGGGGTAAGAGCGTGTTGCCATTTTATTTTACCCACTTCTTCCTAATATTGCTAGTCCTCAGTTGAGGAGAGCACAATCAGATGGAAGTCTGTGCTGCAAACGAGAAAGGTTGACATCAGATACCTTAAGTGATTCTGCACCTGTGGCTGTGACCACTACCACAACCGTTTTGATTTACTCAGTGAAAAAGAAATAAAATTAAACAAAACAAAACTACAGATGAGCACCATTTTTTTGGCATCTCCACATCCTTCTTTGGCGACCAGGAGCAAGAAAGGTTGCTGGAGGGAAGAAGGGGACTTTATATAGTGTTTAAAGTTCTGGACGTGAAACCACAGGATGAGGAGGAAGAAGACCAGAGCCATGTCGTAAGGGCTCTTCCAGAGAAGCAGTAAGGCCGAGGTGAGTTAATCCAGTTGGAGAGGGTCCGTGTTGAACAGAAGCTCTGTTGACCAGGGAAGAAAAAAAATCCGTGGCAACATTTTATGAGCACCGGCTATCAGTTTGAGAGTCATAATCAGTCTTTAGATAAAAAGAGAAATCATATTTATATATTATATATACACACACACAAATTTGTATAAAAAGAAAAAGAATAATCCCTGATGTGTTACTCATGTTTTACAGTTCTTTCATTGAGGTTTGGAAAAAAGGGGATGGGTGAGGGGCGACGTGTCAGTGACTCCAGCCCATAAGGTGGCTGACACGGGCTTTCTCAGTCATACGGCGTACCCGTCCTGAGCGGGACATGCCCAGGTTTAGAGGGTCGTCTTTCGACCCATGGCCATCATCCTCCGAGTCGTCTCCGTATCGAACTGTCCTGCGGCCCTGGTTTCGTGTGTTGACCCGCCGAGACTTACACTGGCTGCCTCTCTGGCTGCTAGCTGCTGCTGGAGCTGCTGCTGCTCGTGTCTGCACCTCAGAGTTGTTATCATCCTCGTCCTCTGGCTCCTCCTCTTCCTCTTCTTCCTCCTCTTCTTCTTCTTCCTCCTCCTCCTCTTCCTCCTCTTCTTCTTCCTCCTCTTCTTCCTCCTCATGTTTTAAATCCACCTGTTGCTGCTGCTCCTTCTCTTCCTCTTCCTCCTCTTCTTCTTCCTCATCCTCCTCTGCCTCTTCCTCCTCCTCTTCCTCCTCATCATCCTCCTGCTCCTCTACCTCAAGCTGCAGTCGTGCTCGTTTAGGTCCCTGTGCCTCTGTGTCCTCTCCTCCTTTGTGTCTCCTCTTTTCTGAGGCTGCCACCTTACCCTTAGCTGAGAGGCGTACTGACAGGCAGGGGGCTTTGCTGTAGTCGTGATCTCCTCCTCCCTCCACGTACTTTTCCACCTCAGAGTCAGAGCTGTTGTCGCTGTCCGACGATGAGGAGGAGGAGGAGGATGATGATGATGACGACGACGAGGTGGAGGACGACTCCAACGAGGAGCTGTTGGATCCTGACGCCTCCTCTTCGTCGTCGGACTGCGACGTTTCTCGCAAGTGCCGTTGTCTGGAGCCGTTACTTAGGTGCAAGTTATTCTGGTGACCTGATGGAAAACAAGAGGGCGGCGGGTCACTTCTGCACCGTAACTTTGCAGAAACACTGAAAAGGGAAAATGTGCATGCTTTTTAGTTACTGCTCGCAATACCTGATTTCTTCACGGGAGTTGCTTGGCTGCGGGTCACCCGATGTGGTCCTTGATTTCTGCTCCTGACACTCGTCCCTGAAGTTGGGGAAGAAGGCTGGACGTCCTCTTCCTCTGCTACATTACCGCTTTGCTGAGCTAAAGAAAAAAAATAGACACAATGCAATTATCCATCAGAAAAGCTGAGAGTACAGAAGCAACTAATCACATTAGAAGATACTAGAAGCTTTTAGCAGGGGTGAATGTATGTAAGTCAGGTAACACCATCAAAAATAATGCAGAGAGCCTGAATGTCATTTGTTATATTCACCATTTTGTTGGGATGCCAACCTCGATATTAGCTAACTAACACTAAACAAAGTAGAGCCAAATGGACAAATTGAAATGGTGACCTGTTTTATAAGTGGGAAAATATACTTTGTTTGCCATTCCTACCATTTCTCTTCAGTTTCTCTGAAAACTGATTTTTTTTGTCTTTTGTTTGGTAGCGTTTTCATATTTTCCTTTTTTCATGTCCCCAAGCTTTCAAAACTCCTTGATTAACATGGATATTTCATTAATTCTTCCATCCTGGTTTATTTTCCATGATTTGCTGACCTGCTACAGATTTAGTGACGATATAAATAGATAAATACTGGCTTGTAGCATGTTCCTAAAACTAAAAGCCAAGTTTACACAAAACCTTAGATTGATCAGTATCCACACAGCATCACCACCACATGCTAAAGGTGGGAAAAGTTGCCTGCATCACTCAGGCGGGAGATTTTATTGGCTGACTGACACCTCTAGGCTTGCATGGCCATGCTGAGTACGGCTTTCCCCTTACAGTTGATGTTTGCTGGACAAAGATTTGGGGCAGAACCACTCACTCTTTGTTTGCAGTTTGTTCAATAAACTAAATTTTCCAGACATTTCTAAATGACGGGATTCTCAATATGCACCTTTGGTCAACTTTTCTTGCGCTGTGTCGCGTGTTACCTCTGTTGAGATGTGCCTGTATTAATCGTTACAGTTTTATGATGCAGAATTTGATTTAAAATGACAATTTTTAACTCTCTTAATTGGGGGAAACAAACTTTCTAGCAGAAACGGAAATTGTTTTTAGCATAGCATAACTAACAGCAAACAGTCACCACTTCCAACAACAGTAAAAAGTGATGCAGGATAAAGAAAAGAGGGCAGAATCTGCTGTTTGGAGCATTTTTGGCCTTGGGGAAAAAAAGAAGCGCAAAAAAAAAGAAAAAAAAAGGAGAGAATTGCTTTTTGCGTCACATCAACTTTTGCTTAATACGTTATTCAAGACTAACTGACGTCTTTCCAAATGAATAATTTGTGCCACAAAGTTTGGAAGGAAAAGTGCAAACAGAGTTTGTTTCAAAGCTGCACTTCCCAGCTCTGCTGCAGGAAACATCAACAGTAAGAAGCCTTATATTGACTTCAGTGTCATTACATGTGACCTCAGAGTGGAACAGGCAGCTCCTTGTTCCACACATGCCAGTTTTGTTGAAAGATTATTTTTGTTTCAGTTGTGTAATTTTTTTAGTTTATCAAGACATTTATGTTTCTACATCCTATCCAGTCCTGAAGAACAAGTCACTGTAAAGCTATGTGAAGACACAATTATGAAATAAAATGTGTGTTATTATAATTATTATTTTTTAAAGGTGATGTGTCATGAAACTGCAAGGCTTCAAAAATACTGGTATATAAATGTTCAGTCATACTGCCCCTGGTATTATATAATAAGTTGTTTAAATAAAAGTGTTTATTGACACTTTTAATGAGCCATCTGTAAAAGCTGAAAAAAAGAAAAATGACACTGATGTTACGCTTTGATTCACAGGAAACAAACATCTGTTAAGTTTTGATAACCTCTGCAGCTTTTCATTGGATTAAAACCAAACTGAGGTCATTCTGGTTTTTGAAGAGTAAGAACTATTACTTTAACCAACTCTAAGAGCAGCTCACTGCACGAGTCTACGCAGCAGAAGGATCTATAAAGCACAGAAAGCCACAACAGTGCAGACGTACCTTTATGTGATCTCTGAGAACGATTCTTTGTTGAGGTCTGGGATTTTTTTGGCTTTGATGCCTTCCCTGACTTGTGCTTTCCTTTAGAGCTGGGCAGGAGAGGGGAACAAGAAAGAAGCAACAGTTCAGAATTATTGTTAACAACTAGGGATGGGTATCTGTTTCAATTCCTTGGAATTCTTTGCCATTTTTGCAAACGATTCCCTTATCGATTCCAGTCGCCCCGAATGACGTCACCACGTTGCGGAGCGTCATTTACTTGGCAGGAAACACGGCGCGTAAGCGGCTCAAACGCTCAAAAGTTTGGTTATACTTTACGAGAACGGATGACAACAGGGCAGCTTGCAATACTTGCAAAGTAGATACTTCATCTAAGGGAGGAAACACTACGAATATGCAAAAGCATTTGCTCACAAAACACGCGATGACCTTAAATGAATGTCATGTTTTGAATTCCGCTCCGGACTCGTGAATCTCAACCCAGCAGCAGCGGTAACGTTTGCACGTCCTCTCCCGTTAATGCAGCAGGTAAATAATCAACTAACAGTGCATATTATGTTAGCGCGATCTGCCTTATTACAAAACCTGCCATTACTGTGCATTTAGGTGACCATGATGAGAGAGACAGACAGAGTCTGGCTCAGATGCTGGCAGTTCTCCCTGCAGTCTACCGGTAGCGTCTCCTTTCAGGCCAGGATAGACGAATATCACCGAGCAGTGACTAAGTTTGTGGTCAGATGTTTGCACCCATTTGCCACAGCAGATGATTTTAGGTAAGTGAATGTGTTTAATTGTAGGCAGGGACATTACTGGATATTCTTGTGTAATTGCTACTGAATAATTTATGTTATACTTTGTTATTGCTACAGATGAATATTTATTTTATTATTTTACATTTACAAATTTTTTTTCCTGGGGACCCTGTGACACCCATTGAAGAGCCGTAGGCTGGATCTCTTAAGATCTCACTGTTGGGTTTGTAAGGCCATGTTACTCCTAAATTTCTATCTTGTTCAAAGAGAAGATATAAAACAAAGTTCTAAGCTAATCGAACTTAGTGTTCTCCTTTTTTTTTTTTTTAAAAAAAGAATCGATAAAGAATCAAATCGTTAAACAGAATCGAAAATGGAATCGGAATCGTGAAAATCTTATCAATACCCATCCCTATTAACAACACGATAATAAATATAAACAACGACAGGGTGCCTGCAACTTTCAGCAGTTTCTGGAATCGTTTTTCCAACCACGACACCTTGAAATGATATTAAAGAGAAAACATTTCTTTATTTCAGTACGGCACTTCTGAGATGCTTTCAGAAGCTGCAGACACTTTGATGGGCCCGAGTGAAAAATATAATCTGATAACACGGTGCGTCTAGGTTTGTGAATGTGGCCGAGTACCTGTGGGATGGACTATTAGGTGGCGAGCTGCCTCCGTTGTGCAATCTGTTCCTGTAAGTGAGATGTTGACGAGCCCGCCGTTCGTTCTGAATGGCAGACTTGTAGTCAGAAATGATGGAGATGATGTGTTTTTCAAAGAAGGCCGACAAGCTGAGGGTCATGGTATAGATCTAGAAATAAAAGAACGCGATACGTAAACGCTAAACCAAAGCTTTCTCAGACTGCACCTATAACAACAGCATTTTTACAGAATGTTTTATTTCTCAGTGAGCTACTCACCTGTGACTTCTTGTTAGGAGTGTATGCTTTAGAGTTGCTGAAAATGAGGCGGATGTCTTTGGAAAACTCCATGGGATTTTCATAATTTCCTACTGCCAGGGTCTCTGACACTGTACCCAGATCCATGGGAGTGTCAATGATGTCTCGATAGTCCTGAACGAAAAAAAGAGAGCAGAAACGCTGAAGAACACAGTGCTTCACCTGAATGCAACTTCAGTTTTACACTTGCAGCATGCACTGCAAATGCTACTTTAAGCTGTAAAAAGTGTCTGGCATGTGTGGTTTTATTTCAAATGGAGGTTTATCCTGATTGTTTTACCGGATATTCAAAGAGATCCACAGGCTGCCTGAAAGGTTCGGAATTCGTGGAAGCTGTCATTCGACGCAACAGCTCTCGACATTGACCTCGCCAGGCTTTCGGATCCAGAACCACACCACGCTTCTTAGAATTTGCAGTGCCTCCCTGGCAGAGACAAAATGAAAGTCACTGAGATTGGGACAACAGCTGGGAGGTTAAAAATCCTGTCAAATATCAACTGCTGCCTTACCCGGTGTCCTGTAGATGTTCCTGGAGTGTCTGAATCTACGTCCAAGTCAACCTGCAAAAAAAACAAAAACAAAAAACTACATAAAAATCCATGTTTCCATTTGCTTTTTGGGACATGTGAATGTAATGCAGTGATCTCCAGCTGGGATAGCCTGTTTCCTTTCCATTTCCAAATCAAACAAGAAACAAAGGCAACGTCTACATCAGGTCATTAATGGATTACTGGATAACAAATACAGTTGGCTTCCTAAGCTAATCTCTAGTGTAATGGTTCAAATCACATCCTAAAATAAAGTAAGTAATTTTGTAGGAAACATGAAACATTAAAGACCTTATTTTCTTTTCTACTGACTTTTTCAGTGATCTGCAGGAATCCTATAGTCAGTCTAATAATACAAACCACACAAACGCAGAAACACTTGTGCAACACCCACCTCAGCTTCACTGCTGACTTCAGACTTCAGTTTACGATACAGATCCAAGACGTCGATGCAACTTTGGTCCCTGAATGAGGCAGCGGGATCAAGGCATCAGAAATGTTTGTTTTCATCATGGTCACTCCACTGTTAAAGCATCGGTAAATTTAACACAGCAGAAACTCTGTCAAGTCTTACCCGATATAATGAAGGAGAACATCAGTCACCACCTTGGCAGCTGCTACAATGGGGCTTTGAGGTTCATTGAAAGTGCGGGCATTGTGTTCGATGTAACGCACCTCCCACATTAATGCAGAGATCCGCCTGGAGCAGAGGAACGCATCAGTGGTTGAAACTCAGACGTTAACACACCAGGACTTTGAACTCATAGAGAAGGTTTATGAGTGCATGATGCTTCACCTGTAAAAGCGATTCTCCAGACGTGTGCGGATGGAGCTGAGGTCAGTGGGGTAAGCCACTACGGTGCAGTACAGAGGGTAGTCCTGCAAATTTACCGGTAATGCGAACGCCTTGGCTACATCTGGGGAACAAACACAAATAAAATCAAACCTAGCAAAGGTCAGGAAAACAAGGTCAGATTGTACTTTACCGCAAAGCTTCATCAATCCTTTTGGGAGGCATACCCAGTGTCAGAAGCTGATCGATGCCATGAATGACTCGCTCACATTCTTCATCTCGTGTATGAGCCCCCCATTCACCTTCCTGAGGCTCATAGAGTAGAGCTTTCAGCTCCTCTTCTGCCACCTCTACACCATCACCAACCTGCTCTGGCAAAGCAGCTGATGGAGCCACAAAAGTGTTAGAACATTAAACAGCAGTTAGTAACCAAGAAAAAAAAAGAGAGAAGTAAAATACTTTTTTTTGGTAGTTAAACGTTACACTGCAGGCTATAAAGAATTCTCTGGGTTAAAATTAATGGAATAGAGTTCAATAAAAACACAAACAGTGTTTCTATGGTTTCTATGGTTATTCCAATAAGGACACGGAAATGAAGGGCAGACAATGTTTTTGTTGTGGGTTTCTACCCCACTGTTAGATGAATGAGATCAAATGTGTTTCTTTTCAACAGAAATGCCATAATGTGCAGTATTTCACTTTTATTGGGTACGATTATGTTTGACTTTTTTCTGCGTCTTTTATCTTCTGTAACAGAGAGCCATATTTCAAAATAATACACACATTTCAATAAATATTACTGACCTTCCTCAGGAATAGGCTCCATATCCCAGGGACTCATTTTCTCCCGCTCACCGTTATCCCATCTGATGAAACAAATGTGATAATATGCCACTAGATCATGCTGCGTATGAGATTAGAGATGCTTATCTGATTTTACTGTGGAGAAGGTGACATGAAGCCAGCAAAAAATAAATTAAAAAATTACAGCGAGCTCTGCTCACACACAGACGTACTTTACTGCGTAGCACTGAAACAGGCTGTCGGGATACTCTGGCTGCAGGGGCTCTTGATCCTCCACAGAGCCGAACCACCAGGCGTCGTCAATGATGCTGCGGAACCTCATGCCTAAACAGAGGATCAAACTAAGGTGACGGACAGTCCTGACAATTTTACGTGAGCAGTAAATACAGGAAGGAGACTGCTGGGGAGTGACTAACCAGGTTGCCAGTTGTGTTCTTTAGCCTCGTTGTAAAACTGCTGCAGTACCAGAAAATCAATGACATCGGGCATGTCATGATACCTGGGAAGTGTGGGAATGAAAAAGTGGTCAAATACATGTGGTCACAGTCGTTTATTACATTGAATATACAAGTGTTGCTCCTGCTCACTTTAAGGAGAAAGACTCATTGGTCATTTTCCCTGAGACTGGGTCCAAGAACGCCACTTTTAGGCAGCAGAGGGTAGGAGGTCCCACTTCATACTTAATTCCAACCACTTTCACAGATTCCTGATCCTGAGGCGGAAGAAGAGAAAAGGAGGTCAATGCAGCTGTACAAACTCCTGTAAGGAAGGATTACTGTGGCATTCTGTATATTGTGTTTCAAGAGATTCAAGTTGTTTTCATTTACAAAAACAGCAGCAGATTGTGGTGAACTAGCGGGGTTGAAGGGGGACTCAGCAGAGAGCTTAGAGGCTTGCTAATTTTTGCTCAGGTCTAAGAGCAGTGCAAAGTGAGTGAGACCACCAGGTTACCGCTTTCAGGTGGTTACAAAAATTGGCTGCCGTTTTCAGACTCTCCAAACAGCTTGGGCACTAATGGAGCATGCCGGGGCCGATACACAGCACTTGCTATTATATAAAACTGTGCCTCACCCTGAGGTTGAGTCTGTTCCACGGCTGCTTCTGAGGGTTGATGCTATAAGCCTTAGCTCTGCGAACAGCCCGGACGTAAGCCTGATGGCCCTGTTTGAAGTAGATGAGCTGGAGGAGGACAGGAGAATCATGATTTTAAAAAGTGTGATGTAACATGTATTTCCTGTTTGATATTAGGAGCGTCAGTCCTTACTTCATCTCCCATTTGTGGAACAAAAGGAGAGCGGCGGGGGACAGTCTCCATAATCCAAGATGGCGGCAGCCACTCTTCCGCATCAAGTCCACCCAGAGAGGATGTGGGTTTCTGAGTGTATATGATTTACCACATGTTAAAGTACATACTCGTGCCATGTTGTGTGACAACTAGCAAAATGTGCTTTTACTGTGACTACTGCAGCTGCAGGTGGCTCACTTGTTTGGTCTCCTTGGACTTCTTCTTCCTCTTCTCTTTTTCCCTCGTCCTTGCCTCCTTGGCTTCGTTATCTCCTTCTTCCTCAGAGCTGCTGTAATCTGGAGGCTGTACAGGTCTCCTGGTAGGTCGCTTTGGCGGCTGCAAATTGATCCCAGCATCCGCTGTCCAATCAGAATATTCACTGGAGGAATCGCTGAGAATCAAAGCGGGGTATCGTCAGGCAGGTGATCGGACTATATTTTGAAAATTCTCCTTGATCAGTGTGTTTATTTACCTGGAGCTGCTTTCACTCTGCCACCGAGCATCACCATCTGAAGATGGATCGGTTTGCTCCACCTGTTCTTCTGCCTGCTAACAAAAATACATCCAAAACCTTCAGTATAACACGAATGACTGCTAACAGTTAGCACTTGTTTCTGATTTTATTCCTGTTTACTAAGTGACCTTATAGCACGGTAACTTTACAAATCAAGCAGAACAAGGTGAATCATACTTCTCCATCACTCTCTGAGTCCATCTGGCTGTTAGAGGTACGTCGGTTGCTGGGATTTCTACTCCTGGTTCCAGGACGCCGGATTTGAGCTGACCGGGTTTGATAGGCATGGCGCTTATGAGTTTTCTTCGTGGGCCGCAGGGAGCGCAGGCGTGAAGACAAGAGATCGCTCTACGAAACCCAAAATATCAGGAATGAATCAGCACATGTGCGATTTCTGACGTAACAATAGTGACGCAGAAAATAGCGTACCTTAGGTGCACAGGTTACTGGTTTCTTCTTCCTCTCAGTGTAGTATAGAGAACATTCAATGTCACCTTTGGCTTGTCTGCACTCCTCTGAAACTCTTAAAAATAAATTTAAAAAAGCATTATGAATTTGCTTTAAAAATCAAATCTTTCTATGCAATCCCCTTAAAACTAATCTAATTCCCTTCATCCTCCTCACCTGAATATCCCCTGCAGCACTTCATTGACCACCACTCTGCGGCTCCAGGCCAGCAGGTCCCTCTCGGTGGCCACCTGACTGGGAAGGGCGTTATGCTGCATTTGCCACACCCCATCCACCTGCCCACTTCTGCGAAGTGCAACAACTGGAGAGGAGGGCACCGCCTCTGCGCCTTCACCAGCTGAAAACAAGATTATATTTTTTTCTTTTAAATATAATTACAGGTTACTGGGGACAAACTCCACTTTTGGAAAAACTTGACAAGAAATGTTTATGTTCAGAGTTTTGCAAAAACAGTAGAATTTCACAAGTATAACCTCAGCCACTGAGAAAGAGCCAAAAATGTTCTCTTCGATTTAATTTGAGTTTATTTATATAGCACCAAATAAAACGAAGCGTCGCCTCAAAACGCTTTATATTGTACAGTAAAGCCTAGTGGTGCAAGGGATGAAAAATCTCACGGTTCGGATCGGATCACGGTTTTAAGTCACGGATCGGATCAATTTTCGGATCAGCAAAAATAGGGGGGAAAAAAGACAAAAATTCGACTCGCCATTTACTTATTTAAGTATTTTTAGCCTATTAAAAAACATTCAACTGAAGACTCATTCCACGCACTTATATAAAAACAAATTAAGGTGCAATATGGACATTATGGACCATGCTGGGCATCCTCTGCACACGGCCATAAACAACCAGAGGAGTCTGTTCAGTGACAGGTTGCTTCTCCCAAAGTCAAGGACCAGCAGACTTAAAAACTCCTTTGTCCCACACGCCATCAAACTGTTTTAACTCCTTGCTGGAGGGGAGAGGGAGGGGAAACGGGGACAAAAGGAGGGGGGAACAAGTAAGCTGTAGCGCCTTTTCACTGTGCAATAGTTTTTGTTAATATCCAACGGTGTAATAGACTCACAATACTTGAAATGTGCCGTTTCCTTGTATTCTTATTCCTATTTATTCTATTTATTCCTTTTGTATTCTCTGTATTTATATATATGGTGTATATATGGTATATTTCTGCTCACATTCTGCAACTTCTGTCGGTGCCGTGCTACTGGAAACTGAATTTCTGGGAGGAACCCATCTTAGGGATAAATAAAGTTTCATCTAATCTAATGTAATCTATAGGGCAGTACAGGGCTTTGTATCTACCACTCTGCTGTGATATAACAAGCAGTCACGTGGCTTTGCGTTGCCCTGGAGGTCCACCCATTTGTAGTTAGAGCAACAGAAGATGCCTGGGACAGTTCAGCCATAACTTTAAACCTTTCATGCTCATACATGCTTGGAACGATCTTGTCACACTGAAGTGGATGCGCAACGAGATATCATAGCGTGGCTCAAGCACGTTCATCACATCATCATATCTTTAGCCCGGTCGGATTGGGCAGCAAAGGGCTGCTTAAATGCCGCAAACTCCTCTGCTCCGCCACTTGGACCGCTAGCGCCGGCCATAACAACCGCTTAACAGACTGACCACACGCACCATACACGTACTTTTTTTTTTTCCTTTTTTGAGTCTTCGGATCACGTGCGTACCGAACCGTGGAGTGGCATCAGTTCTTATTTCGGATCAACCGTGATCCGTTGCACCACTAGTAAAGCACCTGCAATATTGGAGAGAAAACCCCCAAAAATCAGGCGACCACTTGGCAAACAGTGGGAAAATAAAAACTCCCTTTTAACAGGAAGAAACCTTCAGCAGAATCAGGCTCAGGGAGGGGCAGCCATCTGCCGTGGCTGGTTCTGGGAGAGGAGTGGGACACAGGACAAAAGACACTTAAAGTTTTGGGGAAAACTTCAATCATTTTGAGTAAAAAAAAACAAACAAAAAAACAACAACACACACCTTCTTCCCCTTCTGCCTCCTGCTCTGCATTCTGACGCTCATCTTGTTCATTCTGCAGCTGTCTGATGAGATTGTCCAACGGGCTTTCTCCATTTTCTGCCGTTTGCTGGCCAAGAACCTGCTCAACCAACTCTCCATCATCTAAGTAAAGCAAGGAGAAATCAAGCATCAAATACCATCTGTCACTTCTTCTGAATTTTCACCTGTGAATCTGTGCTTACTGTTAGCCATGTATCCCATCTGAGGTATTAGCTGCTCTTCCTTGCAGTTCTCCCGTCCAGGCACCAGGCGCTGGTAGTGAGGAGGATGAGGATTCCCGTCGACATCCACAAGGAAGGGTGGAGGCATGAGGTGTGGCGCCTGTTGCGTCTGCTCATCCAGGACGTAGTTATTAGAGTCACGGATAAGAGGGCGATAGTCCGTGTGGAAGAACATCTGGTCGGGAATCTGGAGGGGAACAAGAACAGGGCGCCGCCACAGGGTGACACCGATTCTTATGATTAAAGAACAAAATGTGTAATCACAAATCCACTGTGCTGTCCAAATATTTATTCTAAATGTTCCTTTAAAAGTGAGGAAATGATAGGGGTGATTGTTTTGGGCAAACAAGACTCAGCTAGCAGTTACCTTTTCATATGGTCTGCTGCAGCCAAAACCAAAGATGAGCAAATGGCCGTGTGAGTCAGTGCAGGCAAAATGCTGCCCATCTGCTGAGAACTTGCAGTCAAAAATAGCACCGTGGCCTTGGCCCTCAATCTGCAAACAAACATTTAAAATTGAACTTAAATCTGGTGAAAAACAAAGCATTGCTGGTAGGTGATGCTCGCTGAGGATCGGTTACCATGTTGAAGAAATTGCGGATCTTGACTCCTTTGGTTAGGTCCCAGATGTAAATGTTGCCATCGTGGCCGGCAGATAACATGATGCGGGAGTCAAATGGATGAGCCTCCAGCACAAACACCTCGTCGTCATGACCCTTGAACAGAGAGACAGCACAGACAATCAAGTAGGCCAATTTGCCATTCTACACCGAATGAGCTGCAGATAATGTCGGCTTCAGCTACTCACAGACAAAATGTGCAGCAGCTGTCCTGTGGATGTGCTCCACACTTTGAGCAGGTAGTTTGACACCGCTGTGATTATGGTGCTGTCAGTGCGGTCCCAGGCAACCATAGTCACCACCAACTTAGCTTTGTCGTCACCTGTGGCGGCAGTGCTCCTAAAAAGAACATCCCATCGGACGTGAAATATGATAGCGGCAGAAGTGCCATCACTAAACACTACGAGTCTTCCCTCTCTTACCCTGGAAGCCTTGCAGCCATGTCTAAAGTGATGCTCTTCCACTCCTGCTGCTGGTAATGCCAAATCTTCACCGTACCGTCGCGACTGCCGCTCACGAACCTTAGGCTGGACACACATACGCAGTTATTCTTCGCACACTTGTAAAACACACAAAAAATATTTGAAGTCCCTGCAGATTTGAGCAAGCACACTCACCTGTCACTGTTATTGCTGAACTGGACGACCACGACTTTATCCTAAAAGCACAAAAAGTAGGAAAGAATACAAGTTGTGTGAACGAAGCTTAAAAAGCACAACAGAGCGGACCAAGCAGGATGTAGTGACTAGATGCTGTTTCTTACCGTGTGAGCATCCATCTCAGAAACCTTCATAGGAGACTCAGCACCAAGATAGTAGACCCTGATCATATGATCAGTGCCTCCAGTAGCCATGAACATGCCACCTATTAACAGAAGAACACATTCAGTCTACAACAATGACCCTCACAGTGTTCTGCCATACTGTATATTAGTTAACTTGTAACCATTTCAAATGATGAAATGCTTTTCATTTTGCAAACACACTACCCTATTTTTTTTAAACTGCGAGCAGCATTTATTCCGTCACTCAAATGAGATTCTCTTATATGCATCTGTGGAAGTTTGGCCTGGTTAAGTTAATATCTTAAAAGCAACAAAAGTTTACCTAAAATAGGAGATGGAATTGGTTTTCCAACAGGAGCCACAAAAGTAAAAATTTAAAAAAAAATAAGTGCAGTTATTAACTGAGCTGTGTTCAGAGCAGCTGAGATCATGTAACAACAAAATGTTGCCTGGCATGGAGATACACTTACCACTGCTGAAAGATGAAGTGGAGACTTGCACCCCGGGCCGTGAACGCTCCATAAACTTGACTGGATGATCACTGAGGGGAAGGGAAAACAAAAAACAAAAAACAGAACCTGTGGTTATCTTAATGAAAACCACCAAGCAACCACTAAGCATGCCACATTAGACGCCTCAATACTTACTTAAATTTCATGGTGAGCGAGTGCCACTTCCAGAAACACACCATGCCGTCTGCACCAGTTGATGCCAGGTACCGAGTTGTTCCTCTAGCTGCTGGACAAAACTGGAGGAGGGAGAGAAGGAAAGTTGGTGTTGGTTAGTCACAGGGAAGGACTGTGCAGCATTTCACATAACAAGCCAGCAGCAGGCCCAGGTCAAGTGCTCAAGATAAGGTGAAAGCATTAAGTAGATGAATTTGCTTTCAAACATTTAATTCCTGTATGATGTAGTCAAGTTTTTAGTTTTATTTAATACTTCAAATGTTGTAAAAGGGCTCTGCAATTTCTTTTAAGTATCACCTGTATGGATGTGATAGACGCAGCATGAGCCTGCAGCACAGTGATGGGCGCACAGGTGCGTAAGCACCACACTCTGATGACTTTGTCACAGCTGGCAGAAGCAATGAGGCTGTTCTCGTGGTTGACAGCCATGTCACAGATCTCTGCTGAGTGACCGCGGAGTGTTGCCAGGAGCCGGCCATCATCTGTGGCCCAGATTTTTACCAAGCAATCATCAGAACCCTAAAAACCAATCCGACAGCAACACATTAATAAGACAGCTCCACTGGAAACCACCTTCAACTGAAGCTCCATGTTGTGTTTTGGAAGAGTTCAGTAGTTATCTTAGATCTGGCACGACAACTGGAAGAACAATCACTAAAATAAAATAGACAGGGATGATGAAATAATAAGAAATTCTTACTCACCGTAAATATTCGACGACCGGTACGGTCAAAGGCCACACAGTAGACTGAAGAAAGGTGGCCAAGGATACGTTTGTGTATCTTCATGTGTTGGTAGGAGGAAGACGGCAGAACCTGGCCAAAACGACCTGTGCCTGTGGCCTGGCGAGCACCCATGATGGACACTTGATGTGAAACACATACGAATAATTAGTAGAAGCAACACACTGACACTGAAAACTTAATACCACGGGTCTAAGTGCTTAGTGGAAATAAAAGGCATAAATGATATATTGTTGTAAAAATGTTTTTAAAAACAGTTTACACACCAACATTAGGAGAACTTCCATTGCTCACTGGAGGTTCTGGTGGACGTCCTCGGTGGAGTGCAGCGACAGCTGAGCCACTACATACCTTGTGGCTACAACCTATGTTAAAAACAGTGAGTTGAAGAATGAATGCCAAAAACAATGCACTATAGCCCCTTTACCATTAGTAACTACTCGGATCGACTCGCCTCAGATTGACTGGTTTTCCATTACAATCGAGTACCACCTCATGTGTGTAGTAACTGTTACAGGAACATGTCCGAGAGTCCCATGACATAATTAGTATGCAACACGAACACTACAACAAAGGTGGACATCAAGGCAACAATATAGCTGCTGCTCAATCTGTGGCTTTTCATCAGACTTGGGGACCACAGCATTGTTTTAGTTACCATTTCCCTCTTTGCCGGGTTTCAAAATTGGCGATTTAGATTTTCACAAACAAGACACTCTCATGACTCTTTGGGTGATGTCAATAACCTACCAATTGGTGGTATGCAGTCTGATGATGGCACACTTTAGTACCTGCTCAGATCGCTTGGAACCCTGGCCAAGTAGGTACTATTTTAGTACCTGGCTGGTACCAGGTACTAGAACCTAACGGAAAACCCTGAAAGCTGTGGTGAGTTAATCCGAGTAGGTACTAATGAAAAGCACAAAATAAATACATTTAAAAAATCATATAAAAACAGGAATATGCTCACTTTTGCTGGTGCGAAGCAAGGACTGTCTTCCCAGCCCCAGAAGTGTCTGGACTCCAGGAACACAAGGTGGGATCTCCTTTTCTATAAGTGGGCCTATCCGCTGGCAAATCCTGAGCAAATAGTCTGCAGGAATGTGCTGGTTCAACACCACCTGCACACGTCAGCAATGGTAATTACATATTAATACAACAAATAACAAAACAACACACGATTACATCAGCTGCATTGTTACGGGCGCTAAAATAAACTGTTAAGTTAATTTAAACGACTCTAGACAATGGCATAATCCTGAAAAACCAACTGAACTGAATTGATCAGCTAACTGATCACTGAAGAAACTACTATTTTTAAATAACCAACAACAGAACATGGTGAAACAAAATGTTCTGCATGCTGGTTACCACTGCAAATGAGAAAAAACAAAACACGAGCCTCACTTTCTGTAATTTAAGTTGATTATAACATTAACTGACTCATTTTCAATACAGGCAAGAAAGATCCAATCCAAACAGCTCTGCAATCACACATAAGTAGCCTGCAACTGTTTCATTTTCCTCTTCCTGTTTATTGCTGCCTGATATCATAATGTGTGCATGGTTTTGTCATGCAGATAGTTGGAAAACAATCAAGGGAACGGGAGGGAGAGGTAGAGAAAGAGGAGGGAGAGAAAAGCTTGCAGCGAATCAAAAGAGCTTCTTGCTATTCTTCCGGTTCGCTCGCCAACGCAACTGCGATATCATTGGCTCCAAAAGAAGACTGACACAGCGCTGGATCTATCTGGCCTATCACTATCGGCTCTTATCTTCATTCTCCGCCCACTAGCCCACACAATAGCATAGCCTGTATATAGTTATTTATCAACACGCCTGCACTAATATGGATTGTTAAATAGGTTAAAATAAATACAAACATGCTGAAAACACGCCGTTTTGGTTGGTTAAAATAATTAAAACGTTGACATCCATGGAAAGGTTAGTGTCAACCGAAAGCGGAATAAAAAGATCCATATTATTAAAAAGTTATTAATGACTATTCACACTCACCCAATCTTGGAAGTTCCGTTTGTATTTCTTCCCGTCCCAACTCCATCGTTGCGGGACCAACTAAAGTTAAAAGAGACGATATCAGAGAGGACACAAAATTGCGAGGCTCGTCCCGGCAGGGAATCGCGCTCCTTTATTTAGCATCGATCAAAACTACTAAAAAGCTGGCCCCAAAAAGCGTCAAGATGGGCATCACTACGGAAACCGCACATGAAAATAAACTCAGAAAGGTTCAGCTGAACCTACCTCATACTCCTCCAGCTCCTCGATCAGGATCTAACAACACAGAGACACAGTTAGCAACGGATGCTAACAAACCTACTTATTTAGACGATTTTTAACCAGTACGACTTGCTTTTTTGTTTATCGTAGGGTATTACCTTTGCGGCTTTTTTACATGGTCCAGACTGCAGAAATCTGGCAATGAGGTAATAGAGTTCTGAAAAGAAAAACAGTAAATGAGCTTGGTACTAACTGATGTAGCTATTGAGCGGAGCTAGCGTTAGCCAGCTCCGGGCTGAGCTCGGTTAATTAGCTCGCTACCTGGCACACAACTGGAAACAGTGTAAATGCAAAATATTTAGTCGCGAATTAAAGCAGCGGTCAGTACTCACCAGCTTCGATTTGTGAACACTGTTCTCTTGCCATCACTTGGTAAGACAGGCGACATTAAGACAAACTGATGTTTTAGCTCGCTGGTTAGCCGCCGGCTAGCTAAGAGTAGCTAGGTGTGTGTAGCTAAAACAGGCTAGTGAATGGCCTCCTCTCGCAAGTTGTTCCCATACTATCCGCTACCTTGGATTAGTGCCCTCTAGTGAATCAACACAGTACCGGACGGAGTGCTTTCTTCAGAAAGAATGAATCCATGTTACAAATAAAACTCATTCAAATTTCACAGATTTTACACAAAAATTGAATGTTAATACTTTTCAGCGGTAAGATAACATTTTTCAGGATTAATAGTTTTCAGTTTTTCAGTTTTAATATTATATCAGTTTTAATATTTTAAAGGGTAAATGTATTCGTAAATGTATTTTGTTATTTTTATTTATTTATTTGGGGGGGGGGGGCACCAACGCTATTTTGTGAATAAAAATATTTGTGGTTTTAAATATATTGTTGTCAGTCAATATACAGTTGCAATTGTTGGAGCAATCTCACTGATCTTAATATATTTGGACATACAAAAAGTATTTCCAAAAGTTTTCTATCAGTTCATTTTCTAGTAGGTACAAATCAGTGACTGTAGAAAACAGTTATTGGTACAAATGCATTCGTCTTTAATATGAGGAGTGTTTTGGTTACAGTCTCTAGCATCTGGGTGTCATTGTGGAAGAATCATCCTTGACTTTAACAGTAACAAAGAAAATATGCAGCTTGTTAAATTGTGAAATAGTATAGCATTTATTTCCACCAGCTCACCCTTGCAAGGCTGAGTTCTAAAGAGTGGGCTTGAACATCATTGCCTTTGTGTGGAGACAACGTTAGAGAGGCAGGGTTGAGAGGGTTTGGGCATGTGCAGAGGAGGGATAGTGGATACGCTGGGTAAAGCATGTTGAAGATGAAGCTGCCAGGCAGGAGGAAAAGAGAACAAGCATAGAGGAGATTCATGGATGTTTTTTGTTTAAGAAGGTTCCTAACTCAGTGAAGTGACTGGAATTATCTGCTAAACAGCCAATAAGAGCTGTTCTTAAAATGCTTAGGATGGGAGTTCTAGAAATAGAAAGCAGACTGTATCATTTTTCAACAGGTAAATATAAGAAAAGAAGATGTATTTAATTTTACAGGCTTTTAGAGGTCCATCCATCCATCCATC